AGTCTGATGGGCAGCCAGGAACTCAAAGCAGTGCCAAAAGTTCGGAGCTGTAAAGGAGAAGGAAAGTGGCTCAGATCAAAATGAACCCTTCTGAAGAAAGCCGTGATCGCTTGTCTTTGACGGCAGCCAGAATTTTGGTTTGCGTGGTTCTGACTGTGGCGTTTGCCATCGGCATTCCCGGGAACTCCTTCGTTGTCTGGACCATTTGTAGACGAATGAAACAACGGCCGTCGACGGTGGTGCTCATCCTACATCTTGCCATCGCCGACCTTTTGGTCCTCGCAACCATGCCAATCTGGATTTATTCCTTTGCCCACAGCTGGGTCTTCAACGTTGTGACGTGCAAAGCCCTGGTGTTTGTTGTCTACTGCAGCATGTATGCCAGCATTTTCCTGATCACGGCTCTGAGCATTGAACGGTTCACGGCAGTCTTTTACCCCTTCGCTGTCCGATGGTGGAAGAAGAAGGCCGTCACCTTCCTGGTGGTGTCCGGCATTTGGTTCCTCTCCATTGCTTTTGGAGCCACCATCATCCCCTTCCAGGAGACAGACGAGACAGATATAGGCCTCCAATGTGCAGCTCGTAGGTATGACTCAAACACTCAAGAGGTTGCTTGTCTGTTGGTGGAGACCATCGTGGGCTTCCTCATCCCTTTCACCGTCATTATCATCTGCTACATCTCCATCAGTCAGAGAATTGGTCGAATGGTTTGTCCATCCAAGAGGAGATCCGCAAAGCTCATAGCTTCGGTGGTGGCCGCTTTTGGCCTCTGTTGGCTTCCTCACCACATCTTTAACCTGATGAGTGTTGCCTCCGTTCTGATGGAGGATTCCCATCCAGAAATGTCGGGCTCTCTGGATAAGACAGTTGCCGTCGGTGTCTACATCGCCGGCTCCGTTGCCTTTATTAGCAGCTGCATCAACCCTCTCCTTTATGCCTTCGCAGCCAGGAACTTCCGCAGCAGCGTCAGGTTCGTGAAGTTATCCAGGTTCTTTGAGCAAATGGGCCCTTTGGCCAAACTGGAATCGGTCAAAGAAGCACCGTCGCCAAATGGGAAAGAGGAGACTTTGACAACCATGGAGATGATCTGATGAAAGGGGTGGGAAGAAATGAGATTTGGCCTCCTCTATACCAACCTTCACAGTTGGATTAAATTTACCATTGTATCGTAAAGTCCTATGAGATTTACCAAGTTGGCCTTTTTCATGCCAACCTTAGCAACCATGTGAGATTGACCAAGTTGCATTGTAACTTTTCAAATTATTGCTTTTATTCAAAGTGCTGGTTGTAACCTAGAAAGTCATCTATGGCTCAAATCCAGGATATGTGAAGGTCCTTACAGTGGTCCCTCACTTATCGCGGGTGTTACATTCCAGGACCACCCGCGATAAGTGAAATTCCACAAAGTAGGGACGTCCCCTCACCTTCCCTCCTCACCTTCCTTATCTTCCTCTTACTCCTTCTCATCGCCGCCTGGGCACCTTGCCGCCGCTTGGGTCCCGCGACGCCTCCTCAATCACGGGGCCTGTCATGTATCATGTTCTGAAGTTGATGGTGGTTGGTGGTGGCAGGCCTAGCTGTTGGTGATGGAAGGATTAATGTAAGTCTTAGTTCTAAAGGGTTTAGTAATCTGAAAGTAAGAGTTCATGGGTGAAAGCAATTAAGGGTGGAGGTATAAGAGATAGGTTGCAGCTGAGTGTTTCTGGATATAAGGAGCAAGCCTTGGAACTGATATTCGGGGGGAAAAGTATTTGTCTTATTTTGGTGGTAGATGCTGCTGGTTTCCCCCCAGGTTTGTTGGATTTTCGGTATCCCAACCTGTCTCCTGTAATCTTGGAACCCTGGAACCTTGAACCTCTGGACTGGCTTTTGACTACGGTATAGACTCTTGATCCCTGGACTTTGTTTATTGAACTCTCGGCGTTTGACCACTGGACTGGACCCTTTGACTACGGTGTAGCATTTGCTATCAGTTTTTGTTTATTCTGTGGCTGAGTGCTATCTTTATGTTTTATGTTTTGGACTATTGAGCCAGAAAGTAAGTGCTGTTTTAATTAAATTGTTTAACACAAAGTGGGTGTTTGTTTGATTCACCTCTGCTGGAATAACAGCAGAGCCCTGGCATCATGACACCAAGCAGCAGCAAGAGGCCCAGACAGTGACGAGGAGAGAGGAGAGATAAATAACGAGAGCGAGGGGGTGGCTCTTCTTCCCTCCTCGACCTCCTTACCTTCCTCTTCCTCCTTCTCATCGCCACCTGGGCCTCTTGCCACCACTTGGGACCCACAACACCTCCTCAATCACGGGGCCCAAGCGGTGGCAAGAGGCCCAAGCAGTGATAAGGAGGAGGAAGACAAAGGTAAGGAGAGCGAGGGGACAGCTCTTTTTCCCTCCTTGCCCTCCTTACCTTCCTCCTCCTTGTCGCCACCTGGGCCTCTTGCTGCTGCTTGGGACCCAGAACGCCTCCTCAATCATGGGGTCCAAGCGGCAGCAAAAGGCCCAGACAGCGATGAGCAGGAGGAAGACGAAGGTAAGGAGAGCAAGGGGGCAGCTCTTCTTCCCTCCTTGCCTTCCTTACCTTCCTCGTCCTCCTCCTCGTCACTGCCTGGGCCTCTTGCCCGCTGCTTGGGCCCCACAACACCTCCTCAATCGCAGGGGCCAAGCAGCAGCAAGAGGCCCAGATGGCAATGAGGAGGAGGAAGAGGAAGGTAAGGAGGGTGAGTGGGTGGCTCTTCCCCCCCCCTCGCCTTCCTTATCTTCCACTTCTCCTCCTCATCACCACCTGGGCCTCTTGCAGCCACTTGGGCCACGTGATGCCTCCTCAATCGTGGGGACCAAACGGCAGCCAGAGGCCCAGGTGGCAATGAAGAGGAGGAAGAAGAAGGTAAGGAGGGTGAGTGGGTGGCTCTTCTTCCCTTGTCACACCCCTTACCTTCCTCTTTCTCCTCCTCGTCGCCACCTGGGCCTCTTGCCACCGCTTGGGACCCACAACACCTCCTCAATCACGGGGCCCAGCGGCAGCCAGAGGCCCAGGCAGCAATGAGGAGGAGGAAGAGGAAGGTAAGGAGGGCGAGGGGGCAGCTCTTCTTCCCTCCTTGCCTTCCTTACATTCCTCTTCCTCCTCCTCGTCGCTGCCTGGACCTCTTGCCACCGCTTGGGCCCCACAACACCTCCTCAATCACGGGGGCCAAGCAGCAGCAAGAGACCCAGATGGTGATGAGGAGGAGGAGGAGGAAGGTAAGGAGGGTGAGGAGGTGGCTCTTCTTCCCTCCTTGCCTTCCTTATCTTCCTCTTCCTCCTCCTCATCACCACCTGGACCTCTTGCAACCACTTGGACCACGTGACTCCTCCTCAATCGTGTGGCCCAAACGGCAGCCAGAGGCCCAGGTGGCAACGAGGAGGAGGAAGAAAAAGGTAAGGAGGGTGAGTGGGTGGCTCTTCTTCCCTCTTCACCCTCCTTACCTTCCTCTTCCTCCTCCTCGTCACCTCCTGGGCCTCTTGCCCCACGACGCCTCCTTAATCCTCAGTGTTCCCTCGCTACTTAAATTCTTTTAAAAAAAATAAACCCACAAAACTGTGAGTCCATGATAAGCGAACCACAAAGCAGCAAGGGACCACTATATATTCCTTTTGGGGCTCATGGGACATCTTTTTCTCCATCCCATGGCCTTCACAGTTATACATCGGCTGAGAGATGACTGGCCGCGGAAACAGTGACTCAAAGTATGTACACTTATTATTATTAAATTCCTTTATTTAACATCCAAGGCTTGATTGAAGAAGATCGTCACCTTTTGTTCCGAGATCGCTTCCCCTTGTTTTTCCCAGAACACTTCCTCATCACCATGTAATACTTCTAGTCTCTGTATTTCATGTTATGCTTGTACATTTTTGGCATCAGTAGTATTTGCATTTTTTTCTGGCCAGATCAAAATTAAACTTTTTGACTTGTCTTCACTTGGTGAGTGAGTTCTTTAATCTGGAATCTCAGACTTTCGCGTAAATGCTCGCCAGGCACAGGCCCTCCATATCCGTGGTCCTAGTCCAAATTTGACCTCAGTTTTACACCATGGCCTTCTCTGCCAATGAATACTGGAGTCCGATCAATTTAAAACTCCCATTATTCCATAGCATTCAGTCATGGCAGTTAAAGTGGTGTCAAACTGCATTAATTCTACAGTGTAGATGCACCCTTAGTTAGGCAGTGCGACAGTACATCCATACCAGAATTTAGTCCATATTTAAATGATTTTTCCAAGATGTTTTACTTTATTTAAGATGTTATCTAAAACCCAAATTAGTTTCTCTGGCATTGGAGTCAACAAGGCCGTTCGCCTGCATCAAGTATAGCAATGTTGAATGAAGCAATCTTCCAAGGTGGTGACAATCCTTTTTAAGGTGCCATCTGTACGCAGATGATGTCCAACTCTGTCACTCCTTTCCACCTGCTACTAAGGAGGCTGTCGAGGTCCTGAACCGGTGCCTGGCCGCTGTGACGGTCTGGATGAGGGCAAACAAATTGAAATTGAATCCAGACAAGACAGAGGTACTCCTGGTCAGTCGCAAGGCCGAACAGGGCATAGGGTTACAGCCTGTGTTGGATGGGGTCGCACTCCCCCTGAAGACGCAGGTTCGCAGCTTGGTGTGATCTTGGACTTCGTCGCTGAGCCTGGAACCCCAGGGTTTCAGCGGTGACCAGGGGAGTTTGCACAGTTAAAAGCTTGTGCGCCATCTGCGCCCGTACCTTGGGAAGTCTGACTTAGCCACAGTAGTCCACGCTCTGGTTACATCCCGCCTAGACTACTGCAATGCTCTCTACGTGGGGTTGCCCTTGAAGATGGCCCGGAAGCTTCAATTAGTCCAACGTGCGGCAGCCATGATTCTAACAGGAGCGGAACACAGGGAGCATACAACCCCCCTGTTGCGCCAGCTCCATTGGCTGCCGATCTGCTACCGGGCTCAATTCAAGGTGCTGGCGTTGGCCTATAAAGCCTTAAATGATTCCGGCCCAAGATACCTTTCCGACCGCATCTCTGCCTATGAACCCACCAGGACTTTGAGATCTTCCGGGGAGGCCCTGCTCTCGATCCCGCCAGCTTCTCAAGCACGGTTGGCGGGGACGAGAGATAGGGCCTTCTCGGTGGTGGCCCCTCGGCTGTGGAACGCCCTTCCCATGGACATTAGATCAGCCCCATCTCTCATGGTATTCCATAAAAAACTGAAGATCTGGCTGTGTGTGCAGGCATTCGAATAACTAGTACAATGATTGGTAATGAACATAGGAATGAACAATGGATGACGAATCTGGATTATGTTTTTGACGATGAGACGATTGGGTTTGGTTATGGTAGTAATTGTTTACTGAGCGGGTAATGTGTTAAGTTGTTAATTGTTGTTATATGTGGCATTGAATTATTGCTGTTTTTACTGACTGTGAACCGCTGTGAGCGGTATAGAAGCGAAGTAAATAAATAAATAAATAATGAAACGACATTTTCAAAGTATTCTTGTTAACTTCAGCCTTTTACAAAAAGCTTATTTATTCCCTAGGATTCCTTCCTTTCCATGACATGATTGCGACAGATCTGCCCATCCGTTTCCTCCAGATTGCCTCAACCTTCTTCTCAATCAGAAAAAATACAAAAATAAGGAAATAAAATATTGCTATCCATCCTGAGTCAGTAGCAGAACTGGAAAAAAAATCTGCCATTTTCCTATCAATCTAGAAGGTGGTATAGCACATCAACAGCAGCTTTCTTCCACTGGTCCATTCTAGATGTGATGGGATTTGCAGTATATAATGTCTGGAAAGTACGAGGTTAAAGAAGGTAGCATTCATAACCTTCTTTATGGGGGAAATGCCACTGTGGGAAGAAGGAAGTGAGATGTTTTGCTTTGGTTGTTTACCAAAGATTTCACAAGAGGATTTCAAAAGGCAGCCCAGTCATCAGCCTGATGACAAAACCCAGGAGATATAAAAACTGAGTTTTCTGTGTCTACATTTCCAAGAACACATTATGAATTTGCCATTGGCCATGTTGGCTGGGGAAGAAAGAAAGATAGAAGGAAGGGAAGGAGGAAAGGAAGGCGAAAGGGAGGGAAGGAGAGGAAAGGAAGGGGAGGAAAAGGAAGAGAGGCCAGAAAGAGAAGGGAAGGGAAGAAAAGGAAGGGAGGAGAGAGAGGAAAGGGAAGAAGAAAAGAAAAGGAGAAGGAGGGAAGGAGAGAGAGAGGGAAGGAAGGGAAGGGAAGGGAGAGAGAGAGGGAAGGGAAGGGAAAGGAAAGGAGAAGGAAGAGAATGATAAGAAAGAAAAGGAAATGATGGAGGGAGGGAGAGAAGGAAGGGAAGGAACGAAGATGATAAGAAAGGAAGGGAAGGAAGGACAAAGAGAGAAGGGAAGGGAAGGAAGATAATGATATGAAAGAAAAGGAAGGAAAGGAGGGGGGAGAGAAGGGAGGGAAGAGGATAAGAAGGGAAGGAAGGAAGAGAAGGAGGGAAGGGAGGAGAGAGGGAAAGAAAGGGAAGGAGAGGAAGAGAATGATAAGAAAGAAAGGAAATGATGGAGGAAAGGAGGAGAGAAGGAAGGGAAGGAACAAAGATAAGAAAGGAAGGGAAGGAAGAAGAGAGAAGGAAGCGAAGGGAAGGGAAGGGAAGGGAGAGAGAGAAGGGAAAGGAAAGGAGAAGGAAGAGAATGATAAGAAAGAAAAGGAAATGATGGAGGGAGGGAGAGAAGGAAGGGAAGGAACGAAGATGATAAGAAAGGAAGGGAAGGAAGGACAAAGAGAGAAGGGAAGGGAAGGAAGATAATGATATGAAAGAAAAGGAAGGAAAGGAGGGGGGAGAGAAGGGAGGGAAGAGGAAAGAAGGAAGGAAAATAGAGAAGGAAGGAAAGGGAAGGGGAGAGAGAGGGAAGGAGAGGAAGGAGAGAAGAGAAAGAAAGAAAGGAAGAGGAAAGGAGGAAAGGAGAAGGGGAGAGAGGAAGGGAAGGAAAAGAAAAGGAGGAAGAGAAGAGAAGGAAGGAAGGG